CATTTTTCTAAGACCACATTCAAAAGTGTCTGTATGCATTTGAAATAATACATATTTTTATTTTTAATAATAAATATTAATATTTCATGATTCACAGTCTTAGTAGCAATTTTATAAAGTGGATGACAAAAACCACAAATGTCTCTTTCTCCTTTTAGCTCAACCAGGAACAACTATTTAGAGCATTTTTTTTTTGAGTCCAAGGTCCAGCATTTTTTAGTTCAACCGACATTAACAATTACATTTGTCAATATGTATTAAATCTGGGGGCTATTTAAAGACTGCAGTGGGGCACTGCAGTCTTTATCCCCCAATGCAAATTTTTGTTTGCATGAAAATTTCTGAAGGGTATCTGGTTTTGTTTTATTTATTTTCTTTGTTTTAAAAGATTCCTGTGCAGAGTAGACTGTTCTTATTGTGACAGAAGACAATTTTTTTTTTATTTGTACTTGTCTTGCCTGAATAACTTCTTTTGTATTTATTTTAGTTTTGTGATTTCAAAGATGGGATGAGCTATAATGTGTCTATTTTCTCCATGACAATACTTGCAATTTTCAAAGTTAAGTCATGATTATTATTAATTGCCTTCATTATTTATAAAGTCAGTGGCCAACTTTAATAATGATGAGTAGAGATAAGCAACTTAATTTAAAAAGTCTTTCAGAGTGAAATGAAAAAAATCTTCAAACTTTATATATATATGTTTAATGAATATGTGTATATATTTTATGTATATGTATATATTTTAGAACATATGTATATATTTTAGAACATACATATTAACCCATCTTTTAAGTCTCATAGTTTACATAAACTATAGTTCTAATTTCTATGAATTTGCGGGCAAGCCTGAAATAACATATTGAAAACTGTGTTTTAAACTTCAAAGATAAATACAACTCACAATATTTTTGGTTTGAATGTTTGTTGAAATTTTAATTAAAGCACTCCCTGTAGTAATTTCACTGATTTATTCACAGGACTTTATTCATTTATTAATCATTGTTTTGAGAACCTCATTTAAGAGCCCTGTATCTGAATTCTTGCCTTCCTCTCTCTCCATTCCAACTCCTCCTGTTCATGATGCCAAACTGATGATCTCGTCTCCCATCATCCTTGCTGCATGTGTATACATATGTGCATATATGTATTATAAACCACACATGCATGCATAAACTACTAAAACTATTCACTTTGTTCCCATATACCCATATTTGGGACTAAATCTTGGGATGGAACCACCTGTGTGTGATTTTTGTCCTAAGAGGAGACCAATTACCCCGTTCTCGGTAGCCACTGACCATCTGTAGTTTTCATCTTAGGGATGCTACCATGTGGGTCACCAACTGTCTGTCCATGGGTGAGGCCATCATTCTGGTCGTATTTAGACAATTTTATTTTAGAGAATTCATGAGTGCAGCTTCTTTGTCATATGTAGAAAACGCTTATCTAGGAGCATGTGTCTTGATTTTTTGACTCTTATAATCATTTTGAGTCCTCCTTCTGTGATTTTTTTTTTCCCCTGAGCCTTGGGTATAGTAGTTGCACTGGAGACATATTAGTTGGGGTTGGGCAACCTAAAATAACTTATTTTCTGCATTCTTAACAGTTTGGATCTTTATAATAGTCTTCATCTTTTGCAAAAAAAGAAGAAGCATTTTTGATGAGGGACAATAGCTGCACTTATCTGTGGGTATAAAGATATGTTAGAAATTTTATTAGTTTAGGAAAAGGACATTGGAAAGTTCTCTTTTTTAGGTCTATGACCTCTCTGACCATGTGGTTTACTATATTTGCAACATCAGGAGTGAATTCTCTCCTATTGAGTGGAATCTAAAGCCCGAACAGACAGTGATCGATTATATTCAGGATATAAGTGTTACTGTTACCATTGTGGATATCTTTCCAGGACAGTCATGGTTATGGTTCACAGGCTTTTCATCTGGTAGTTGTATTAGTTACTTAACTATTGGTGTGATCAAACACCAGGATCAAAGCAACTTATGAAAGAAAGCATTTAATTTGGCTTTTGGTTCCAGAAGATTCCAGAGTCCGTGATGGCCGACATCTGGCAAGGAGATGGGGCAGCAGCTGAGAGCTAATGTCCAACATTATGAGGCATAAAGAACACAAAGGCTGGCCCATGTTTCATGCTTCTTATAAGGTTAAAACTCCTAATTCTTCTCAAATTGGACCACCAACTGAGGGCAAAATAGTCAAATATATAAGCCTATGGGGTACATTCTTATGCAAATCAATACAGTAGGACTACTGTGACAAGGTGGCTTGTCACTCTTGGCAAATTGCATAGATATTTCCTGTATAAGAGAGAGAGAGAGAGAGAGAGAGAGAGAGAGAGAGAAAGTGTCTCCATGGAGAGGAAGTACTGTAACAATAGGGTCTTATCTTCAAGTTCTGGATGGCAACCGTGGAAAAAGGCAATAGCCAATACTGTTTTGGAAGCTTCTTAGAATCCAATGAGCAGTGATTCCAAGGGAGGTTTTCCATACTTTGTGCGGAATATTATCACCCCAAATTGCAAAGCTTCATTTCAACAATGCATGTATATATGCATTTACATATTTTATACATGTTTTTAAATAAACAAAAAAATAAACGATTCCCTATAGCTATTTCAATATTCCCTGTCATTCTTTATCCCTAGTCCCTCTCTCTTCTTTATTTTTTTTCTCTCTCCTTGGAAAACAAAGCCCCCCACTCATAGTTTTCCCCATTTCTCACATAGCAATGCTTATGCCCTGCTCATTCTTTTTCTACAACTCCACCCTGCACTACTGTCCCCATTGACTTTCCTGCATTCTACAGTTACATACTTAACACCTGTAAGTATATATAAGGTTATGTACTTACACCTAAAGACTTGGAGCTAGGATCCACAAATAGGAGTGAACATGCAGTGATTGTCTTTCTTGGTCTGGGTTACCTCACTCAGTATAATATGTTCTAGTTCCATCCTTTTACCCACACATTTCTCAATTTCATTATTCTTTACAGTCGAATAGAATTCCATTGTATATGTCTATCATATTTTCATTATCCATTGGTTGTGGGAAATTTAAGTTGTTTCCACATCCTTGTAGTGTGAATAGAGAGCCAATGAACATGACTGAGCAAGTATCAGTGGAGTGGGATGTTATATCCTTATGGTTTTTGCCAAGGAGTGGGTATAGCTATGTCATAATGGTAGATTTAGATTTCGTCTTTGGAGAATTCTCCACAATGATATGGAGTGACTGCACCTGTAAGAGGTCAAAGTAACTCATAGTCACAGGAGCAGTTTCTCATGTGACCACAGTGAGAGTACAACAAGAACCTTAGCTCCTTTGTTCTTTGGCAGGTGAGAAATTTCAGATGTCTGTCAGGCATGTGTTCATCCATCCCAGGCTGAACTTCATGGTTTCCCCAGTGGCATAAACTGCAGTTGTTCAGTTAAAGTGTAGTAGGAGACTTCCAATTATGCCAATTATTGGATGCCTTCTTGCCCCTGTTTTTCTTCACCGTGACCGAATGAATTTCATCTTTCATCATCCAAGTAAAGAACTAGCTCTTGAGTGTGTTGTGCAATGTCTGTAACAGAGAAAAATCTCAAATGAAAGCATCTGTAATTAGTAGTACTAGGCTAGGTAGTTAAAAGGATTCAAGGTCACATGACTGTCTGCTTTTCTAAACTAGACCCAAGAAGAGTTGTTCTCAGTTGCATTTCTACTTGGTCGAGATTCCTAGATATATACAAGATTAGTGTCCACAATTCCTGGAGTTTGGGTGTAATTGCATGTCTTACTTCTCACCCCCAAAGACTTACTAGACAAGTACACATCAATGGAGATAGAGAGAGGACTCTGTTAATGCACTAAGCACACACCTCAACTCTAATATTTTTTTTCTTGATTCCATTATAGTTTGGAACACAGTCTCTGATTAGTTCACTTCAGAAACCACGTTTTTGAGTGCCACTGTACAAAGGAATCCGGGCTTTGTTTCTCTGTCCCAGTAATAGCTAAAACAGCTCAACCAGGAGGGGAAGGACCAGGACTTCTTTGTTAACGTGGTAGACTAAAGCTATCAGTTCTTCTGCTTGGGACATAGCAAGTTTCTGGCTTGCTATGAGAGATTGTCTCATTTTAGGTGTGGGTATCTGTTGAAAATTTACCAGGCATCTTAGCTTCATGGAGCATCTCAAAATGACACAGGACTTTCAGATAATTAATTCTCCAGAAGTATATCCCAGTTTTAGAAGGTTCAAGGAGGCCCAAGTGTGGCACAGTTAACAAGATTCTCAGGCTGAACAATTGGCTCACTTAGCATTTTTCGTATATTTCATTATATACATTATATTCATATATAGTGCATATATTAGCATTTCCATATATTTCATATACACATATGAACAATATTTTCATATATATGAAATATATATGTGAAATATATGGAAAATGCTAAGTGAGCAGATTGTTCAGTTTCAGAATTATTATATATATATGTACAATGAGGTCCTTTCTGAATTGTCTCTGGACAAAACTATACTTAAAAAACGGACGCTGACAATTCTTTGTGTTTATTTGTATTCCCGGTTATGGATTCAGAAATTGGAACTGTCCTTGCTTCAAGATATGTGCTTCTTTAACTCCTTGCGTTTTTCTAGAGTGTTACCACCTGATAAAGTGAAAGAAATCTTAATTCATGTTAAAATTTTATGTGTTGCAATTATCTAGCAAAAGTTTTAAATTTTAATGTGTTAATAGTTAATATTTTATCACTGATGATTTTTTAAAATTATATAAGCTGCTTGCATCTTCCCGTCAGTTGCTTACACTGTTTAAGTGTCTGCATTTCAAGTATTGTGTTTTCAGTTACAAAAAAGATTTGTTTTATCTGAGGATGTGAATTTCTGTGAACGATACACAGTTTAAAGGAATAAAATCTCTCTTAAAAAGAAACAGGTTTTTAAATGTCTAATTTATTTTACATATATTTTTCAGATTAAAGGATTTACTCGAAGACAAAGCATTCTATTCATCAGAGACTAGACAAGAGTTACTCTTGCTTTTGGCAATTAAAGATGATGTTGTCATGGAAACAGCTGATCCTGTTTTTATTCATTGGCTGCCTGGCAGGTAACAATAAGCTATATTTTCTATGAACTATTCTTGAGTCATGTGCTTAAATACTTTGCTTTTGTTTTTGAGACAGGGTTTCATGTTGCCTAGACTGACTACATTCTAAGTATTTTGATCCTGATCATCCTGCCGTCATCTCCCAAGTCCTGGGATTGTAGGCATGCTTGTCTATGCCTGATTATTCTCAAATCCTTTTTAAATGTTGAGGTAAAATTACACTACTGTCAAAGACAAACAGGTCTTTTTTCCTCAGAAAGAAGATTCACATTCTTAATTCTGATAATTGGATTCTCATGGCTCTTCTATCTAATTTTAACAAGTCAATATATTCCCATAGAAACTGTAAGAACACTTGATATTAAAATTATATTACTGATTTAATAAGTGTTTCCAGTATTAAGCCTTAAATTTGTGACTGTGAATTCATATTTATTTGTTTTTCTAAAGAATTTGAAAATGAGAAACTCTGCTTATAAGAGAAATTCACTTTTAATTTTATTTTATATTTATATAGTTTTTACCAATATTTATATGTTTATTAGAACATAAATATTTATATATATATATGTGTGTGTAAAAACAATTAAGGAAAAATAGGAGCTGTCAGTGGGTAAGAGAAAGGTTCGAATGGGGCAAGGAAAAGGGTAGAAATTATAAGATTATATATATCTATTTCAATATATTTTATTTTTATAATTGTATCATCCCTACCCTTCTCGTTCCTTCTTTCAAGCACTTCATGTGACCGACCACATCCCCTCTCAAACTTATAACTCCTTTTTAAAAATATTATAAATATAAATACTGAAATATATATATTCATACATTTATATGTATATAGGTATTTATCTACAAACAGAAATACTACCTTTTCAGTCCATTTATATATATATATGAAAAAATATATATATAAGAAAAAATATATATATATATCAGATTTGAGGCTGACCACTTAGTATTGGAGGCCTATTAGGGGCTTATTCCTGGGGAGAACCAATTCTCCTGTTCTCAGCATTCCAGAGTTGCCTGTAGTTTGATGCTTAAGGGTGGAGTCATGTGAAAGGCGATATACTTTTTAAAATATGACAGTATTTTCTTTAAATTTTTTTTATAACACATACTTGAGACATTTTGTTGCAGTTTTCGCATTGTTTCTTCAAAACGTTAAACAAAAGAAAAATGTTTCATATTTATACCCCATGAAAGTATATTTTTAATTCATTTGTTATTGTTCCATTTTGTTAATTTTTTGAGGAGTGCACAAGAAAATAATTTTTACATGAAGTAAAATATATAATATGATATGTAAAACTACATTTCTGTTTTGTTTTCTTTTTTGATTCAAAGCATAACAGACATATTAATATGGTGAATAGGATCATGCCATCCATTTGATTTGACTCTTGTGCCATTTGGCCATTTTTGTTTTTTCTGTTTACACTTGTGTAGGTATTTTTACCCCTTTACTCCTTTGTTCATTTACTTTCTCTGACCCATTTGAAAATATATTGTTATGAAAATCATTTCGCATCATAAAAACAAATCAGTACTCATATTTTAGGGTCTAGAAGCACCTTTTCTTTAGGGAACCAGAACCTTAACCAAAGTGTAGCATATTTTCTTTTAGAATGAATAAAGCAGATGGGAATGTTCAGTAAATGATTGCCATGCTGCTGTATATTAGAGAACATGTTTTTTGTATCAAAATTCAAATGTTTTTCAGATATTTAAATGATAAGGTGTAAAAATTCACAAGCAATCCTAGATCACAGCTTTAAACTTTGTAAATAAGGCTCTCCCCCCCCACACACTTTTTTATAAGTTTTTTACTAAGCTTCTTAATTATGTTTCTAGAACAGATTCAAGTACTGAAGGAAAAGGTGGCAAGTATATTCAAATTTCAGATTAAGTAAGTGGGATCTGGAGAAAGAAAGATCAATAGGTACTTACAAACTAAAATATTTTTCTGTCTTTAGTTATTTTACATAGTTTTGGATTTTTTTTTTTTTAAAGAACAAAATGACAATCCATGTTAGTAGTCTTCTACAGGGTGGTAACTTCTGTAGAAATCACCTTGAAATCCCGCAATTTGGTTGAAAAAAATAATGGAATTCTGAGAAAATGGAAATGCTGCATAGTTAAGAAAAATAGGACTGTTTTTCAAAAGTTTAAAATGCTATTCTATTACACATGAAAATTGCATTGTGCACATGTCTGCATTTTTGTTTCTGCATGTTTTACACACTTATGACAGTTTTCAGGAAAAAAAGCAAGGTACATTATACAAAAATGTGAAAGTACCTATAAGAAAGTTAAATATCACCTTGAATTAACAATGAAATATTCACAGAAGAACTGAATTATACTTTGTCTAATATATTCTATGTAATATATTGCTAGAGAATTGGTAATCTTCATAATTACACTACAGAGAATGATTTGGCTGATTTTGTGTGCTACAAAAAATATTGAATGTTGGTTATTGCTTATATATTGAATGCCAGTATTCTTTTTGCATTATTAAAATTAGAAGGCTGTTTTCTGAATATGATACTCTGTCAATAAATATTTGGCTGCTTTACATGCTTTGAAATCAATTTCTTTTTGTGGGACTGTGGTGACTTGAATAGGAATGGGCCCCAGACCCATTCAAACATTCATGGGTTTGAATGTTTGACCCATAGGGAATGTCACTATTAGGAGGTATGGCTTTCTTGGATTAAGTGTGGCCTTGCTGGGGGAAGTGTGTCACTTTGGAGGCAGGCTTTGCTCAGGCTAAGACCTAGTGTGGCAGTCTTCCTGCCTTGTGTGATGAGCATGGTTAAGTCTTTAATCACTGCAAGAACCTTGTAATCAGCACAAGACACCCAAGGCCAAGTTCTTGGCACAAAGAAGATTTATTTGCTCCAGAGGGATAAAGGACAGAGAGTAACAAAGACAGGGGGATACAGAGGATTAGAGAGAAGGGGAAAGGAACAAGGGAGAGGAGCAAGGGATATTTGCTCAAAGGACAAAGACTTCCTCTTGATAGAGAGGATGCACACATGGCCAATAGACAAATGCCAGTTTATAAAGGGAAAGGAGATGAGTTGGTTAATTTTGGCTGGCATGTTAATTAGGGTAGCCAACTAGGGACATTTGATTTTTTTGATTGCTGGAATTCGATACTTTGATAGCTGTACTTTTGTAGCCTCAAGAGGAAGAAGTATCCAAATAAGGGAATAGACCTTGGTAGCTTTCGGTTTAGAGTATAATGGTTTAGCAAGGTAGAGGAAATGGGACAGAAGGTTAAAAGGCAAAACTCACTAGTGACATGTTTGCCATGCTCAGGCCTACTAGAATGCCTCGATCACTCTATGTGGGAAGTCTAAACTTGTCATATAACAGTCTCTGTTGTTTTAGTATTAGTCTTGTAAGGTGAAATGCCCGTTATTAATGACAAAATATTTGTGATAACTATAGAGGACTTTTTTTTTCTTTTTTACAATTTATTCATTTTATATCCTGATTGTAGCCCCATCCCTCATTTGATCTGGAACCACCTTCCCACTCTTTTTGCCCTTATCTCCTTCCCCTAGTCCACTGAAAGGGTGAGTCTTCCTACAGAGAAATTTTAATCCAGCAATATGGTGCTCTGGCAAGGGATCACATCCAAAAATCTTCTAGGTGTATGTGACCTAGTTGGAATGCAGGCACACTGTGGATTACAGTATGATTTGGCTAGATTACAGACATGCCCTTAGTATATACTTTGATCCCAAATAATAATTCCAAATTAGTTTATAGAGGAAAGCAACAGTGTTTGAAAGTAAAGTTTAATTGAGGAACAGATAAAACAATGAATCTGAGAAAGATTTAACAGAGTGAGTCAGAGAAATGATAAACCTAACTCTCACATGAACGGGACAGGAAAGAGAGGCTACCTAATTGCACAGGGAGAGAGAAGAGAATTTTTTTTAACTTAAAGTTTTCTACCTGAACACTTTTAGTTCTAGAAAGAACAAGGTAGACACAAGTTCTAGAAAGAACAAGTTCTAGAAAGAACAAGGTAGACACAGGCAATGACAGAATGAGCCAGAGTATGAGAAGGAGCTAGAAGGTTAAAACATTGTCAAAATTAGTTTTACACTAGGTAGAGAAATTTAGCCAAAAGCCAAGAGGAGCCAATTTGAAAGTCAGCGTGGAGAGGAGCTTGGAACAGAACAGCTGAGTTGAACCAGAAAAGCAGAGGTAATAAAGAGCTAGAAAGACTCGGGAAAGGCTCTCATCTCATTCCCTCAACTGAAGAAATAAAAGCACCATTTACAGATATCTATTGAAAACATTATACAGAAAGATGGAGTTTTCCGTAAAAGTTATGAAGCCTTTTTTATTTTGCTGTCTTCTAAAATGATTGTGAGTAGCTGTTTATCATCATTTACTACCAGTTTGGTAATATCTAGGAATCACATGTCAAAATGAGTAGCACTCATCCTGGGATGGATTGATTTTATGAGAGTAGTCTGTTAGATTCCTTTCAGCACATATTAAGGTAAGATTTCGAATAGATACTCTAGTTTGCAATTATGATGAAGCCAGGAAGATTCAGAAACTGACTCCAGACAGCCTTGAGAGGGAACTGTTCCTTTTCACCCAATGACTGGCATAAACTAATGAACTAATGACATTTTCTGAACAAGATTTTCTTGTTCAGGGACTACTTTGTCCTCAAACTTTGTGGAACACGTCATGTTTCACAGTGGATCTTAGCAAACAGCCCTCAAATCTAAGTTTCTGTGGTGGCTGCTCTATAGTCACTTAGCAAGTTAAGTTCAGGGAAAATTTAATTTGGGGAAGGTGATGAGATGGGTCAAGGGCAAGCTAGCTGATCTTTGACATCATGGTGATCTGGTTCCCCTCCTGGCTTAAAATATAAAAGATTGTGATTTTCTTTCACTGAGAAGAAATTTAAAGAATAGGACATTTTCTTTCAGCTTCTGGTTTCAGAGGTTTGGTCT